GTTTGCAAGAAAACAACCAAGCTCAGAGAGCACGAAGGACCTCTCAACTAGCACTTTCATTTCCATATCAATTTCCCATCCCTGCATGAGAAGTAGGCTTAAGTTTGTTTTAACATGTTTCCATATTTCTTCCATATTTTTATGTATTGTATATTTATTCTATTACGTTCAGTGTTATGTGCAGTTGATCAGATAAACATTTTCTAAGCAATTGTTATTTATAACTGCATTTTATTACATTTCTCCTAAGACATGTATTTCTGATCAGAGAACAGTAATTAATTTCACATTCTCAATATTTAGGCTATATATTTTTTCTTCCATCCATAAATACATAAGCAAGCAAGCATAAAGCCTAGACCTTGAAAACAGGTAAAAATGAAGCCTCAATTTTTTTCCTCCCTGTATAAAATTCAGTGTGAGCATCCATTGGCAGCATAGAATGGGCTTAATAAAATTCATTCATAATCTTCACTTTGCAGCCGAAAGATACAACAGTTGGTACCAATCTCATTTATGAGACGCATTTTCACAAATGTTATTTATATGCTTTTTTTAAAAAAAGAAAGAAACATAAAGTAAGAGCTGTGCCGGCACAGTGGTTAGAATGCAGTGTTGCAGGCTAACTCTGCTCACGTTGCCAGAAGTTCGATTCCTTCAATCCTGACCGGCCCCAGGTTGACTCAGCCTTTCATCCTTCTGAGATCAGTAAAATGAGAACCCAGATTGTTGGGGACAATTTGCTGACCCTGTAAACTGCTTAGAGAGTGCAGTAGTTGCCAACCAGTGGGTTGCCAACTGGTGGGCCGTGAGAAAATTTTAGTGGGCCGCAGAGAAATCTCACCCCCAGAGCACCCCTCCAAAGCAATTAATCCAGGCTGCGCAGAAACACAAGGCTGCGCTGCCCACATGGCCTGTGGGAACCCTCCCCGCCCACTCACTCCTTACCCAGCAAACTTGCCTGCTAAATTTTTATTTTTCCTTTTTCCGACCATCATCTGTTCTGCTGTGCCAGGAGATTTAGATTAGCTAGGAAGCAGAAAATGGTTGGATTTCTTGCTTTCTAGCTAGTCTTTATATCTTCCCTTAGGACTGAAGTTTTGCTTGCCAGCAAATTCAGTGCAGACTCATGGCAAGCAAATTTGAGAGACTGAGCTAGCCGATGGCAGATAGATAGATCACTGAATGATTCTGTGAGCAACTCAATCTGCCTGCTTTGCCTGATTTTGGGTAAAAGTTGCTCTTTTTTTAAATAAAAAATTCAATATTTATATGCATGGTATGTTGTGAGTTAATTTTCTGAGTTTGCTTGCCAGCAAATTTTATGTGACAGACTGAGCTAGCCAATGGCAGATAGATAAATTTCTGAATGAATTTGTGATTCTGTGAGCATCTCAATCTGCCTGGCTGCTTTGCCTGATTTTGGATAAAAGTTGCTCTTTTTTATAAAAAATTCAATATTTATATAAATATTTATAATATTTACACACAAGCCATGCCCAGCCAGTCACATGACCACCAAGCCACACCCACAAATTAGGCCACGCCCACAGGACCAGTTAGTGGTCCCTGGGATCTAAAATTATGAGTTTGGTGGTCCCTGAGGTCCAAAAGGTTGGCGACCCCTGCTGTAAAGCACTGTGAAGCAGTATATAAGTCTTATTGCTATTGCTATTGAGAAAAAAATATTTTTTGCTAAACATGTAAAACAAATAATGATGCCTACTTCTGGTTTGGCATGACAACTGGAGAACAATAACCAACTGTTCCCCCCTCTAAATTCTAAAAATAAAGGATTTAGCATCAGCAGAAATTTACTCTCCTCTTTCATTATAACTAAAGATATGTAAATGTCTTGAGCTCTTGGCAAAAGGTGGAATGTAAATTAAATAAATAAGCAAAGACTAAGGAAAATAGCAAGGATTCTGGGTATAACCCAGAGGTGGTATTCAGCAGGTTCTGACCAGTTCTGGAGAACCAGTAGCTGAAATTTTGAGTAGTTCGGAGAACCGGCAAATTCCATATCTGACTGGTGCCGCCCCCACCTATTCTCAGCCTCCCTAGTCCCATCTGATCAGCTGGGTCTTCTTTTGTTGCCCTGCACAGGAGAACGGAGCTGGAAAGCAGGTTAGTGGGGTGGGGAGGGAATGGCATTTTCCAGTAACCTTCCCCCAGGAATGAGAAGGGAATGGAGATTTTACAGTATCCTTCCCCTGCCACGCCCACCAAGCCAAGTCCACCAAGCCACATCCACAGAACCGGTAGTAAATTTCTTTGAATCCCATCACTGGTATTATCACATCATAAAATAAGAAGACGCATAAATTCAGGTTGTTTATCTCATTAGCAGCATTATGGCAGAAAAAAATAAAAGGAAAGGCTCTTTAATGGCTAATATCAGTGAACAAAAAATTTAGCAAAGGGATAGCACAGCATTTTTTTTGATAATTTAACAACAGGCCAAGTCCTCAATAGAAATATAATTGAATCCTAATTATTACCAATACTACACATGGCCAATTATTTTGAGAAAAGCATATTAATATTAAATATTAATATTAATATCACTCATTTGACAAAGCATGCAGGTAACATAAAATACATTTACGAATAATAAAGAGAAACTCACATCTGGATGTGGAATTGCATATTGTCCTTGAATTGTGTAGGCCTGGAAAAAAAAAAAGGCAGTGTAAGACACTGACACAGTGACCAGTTGCTATAGGCTTCACTTCACGCTAGACTTGTATCACTAATCTTCATAGCAGCAAGACGTTAGGATCCTCCATAGTCTGCAATATTTGAGTCAGGGGCATTGTTATAACACCGTTTTATACAGTGGGTGTAGGCATAAAGTATATAATAAAGTGGAGTTTAGCTAAACCCTTTAAAATATATCTACCCAATGAAACTCTTTCTAATGTTGGTAGTAATTAGCCATTTCTACACCTCCTAAGCTTTTGCCTCTGGCTCACTTGGGTGCATAGTAGAGGTGGTATTCAGCAGGTTCTGACCAGTTCTGGAGAACCAGTAGCGGAAATTTTTAGTTTGGAGAAGCGGCAAACACTACCTCTGACTGGAGAGTTTACAGTATCCTTCCCCTGCCACGCCCACAGAACTGGTAGTAAAAAAAATTGAATCCAACCACTGGCACATAGGCAAGTGAAACTCAGGAAAGACCCACCAACGGTGAAGCCAGAAGCTAAGACTGGGACCAGATGGTGCTTCCAAATGCCAGTTATGCGGCCTCCCTCTCTTATTTAGCCTGAGGTTCATCCCCCTCCTCTCTTTAATGCAGGCCTTTCAGCTAATTTTCCAGGGCCAGTGTTGGAGGGAGAAAATGTTTGAATAATTTCTCTAAATAGGTTTAATAGATGAAAGAGTTTTCATCAAGAGTGGTCCTTGTATGAGTGAAAAAGAGTAAGTAATTTACAACTTTACCAGTCCTCTCAGTTATTCCCTGTGAAATGACCTCACCTAAGTACCTGGCAGCTGAATAGGTAGCTGGGAAATGACTTCCCTTAGCTCTTGCATAGCAAGAATGGCATAGTTGAAAGGGAGCTGAGTTACCGGGCATTTCTTTTTCAGAAAGATATTTGTTCCTATATAGGCCAAGTTTAAACTATTGCAAACCAGGCCCACAAGAATATGTACTTTCCTTTCATGCAATTAGGTCTTGACCTTAATTTTCCTCTTAATTCAACTTTAAATTGTTTTACAACTCCATTAGGGAATATTTATGCCATATTCAGATGTAAACAAAAGTCCTTTCTGAAACAGCCACGTCTTCAATCCGACTCTCCACTCTAACTTCTACCCAGAATAAATAGTTGCCTCAATTAAGCTTTGGATTGCTTATAGAGATAGTTGTTGAGTGGCATTTGTCTTAGCCAAGGGGTAGGAACAGATTAGTATTTCCTTCTGGATTTCGCAGCTAAAAAATAGCAATTTTGATCAACCTTGAAATAGGGACTTCAGGGAAAGACCATCAGAGCTAGTTAAGGAGGACTGGACCATGATTATGCATGCCTTATTTGTTTGTTTGTTTGTTTGTTTTATTTGATTTGATTTATTTGATTTATTTGATTTGTAAATCACTTACAAGATAATAGGTATAAGAATAAACATGAGTATGAATACAGGAAATAGGTACGAATAAATGGCGACAATAGGACAGGGATGGTAGGCACAATTGTGTGCTTATGCATGCCCCTTACAGACCTCTTAGGAATGGGGTGAGGTCTTCCATCCTTTCGAAGAACTGCTTGACTGGATTCAATTGTGCAAGCTTTGGGCAGCCATAATTTCCTGTATTGCAAAATTGCTGGGACTGGCAATAGGCACTCAGTTGTGAGTGTAAACAGTGATTGCTTTGTGATGCCCATCCCTCGCAACATTGTTGTAGGTAAGCCAGGCAAACAGTAAGATCTGACATCTGACAAGATATATTGTGGACCAGAGTTCCCTCTCTATATTTAGATATTATTATGGTTGGCCATACATTTAGTCAGGTATTCAGACTGAATTTGGCAAATCCTTTCCAAGGATGTGGGATAAGCAGTTGTTGTTTGATGGTATTAAAGATATTGTTATAGAATGTCTGGTGTTCTAAGTAATACCTTTCATAATTGAATGATAATAATTTTGTCAATGCCAGTGATGTTCAAGTGATTCTCCAGTTGATTATAATATAAAATTATATGGCTGATCACCAGACAGAATTTTACACCGGATTGGCAACCAAACTTATAATATTATATAATTTCATATAATTATATTATTTTATATATGTTATGTCAGATATGTCACTCATCATCTAGAAAGCTACATTTGATGGGTCCTAGACAGCAGGCCTTTTCTGCTGTTGCGCCAGTATTAAAGAATCTTCTCACCCCAGATATAAGGCTGGCATCATTACTCCTGAGCTTCCGAAGATCCCACAAGACCTGAATACTCTCTTCAGTTCTGCCCTTTCCCAAGTTTAAGTAAATAACAATGCTATGACATCAGTTAGATTGCAAATACTGGTTCCATATTTTAAGCTCCATTGTTGAATGGGGACATTGAAACAGAACAGAATAGAATAAGAGTTGGAAGGGTCCTTGTAGGTCTTCTAGTCCAAACCCTGTTCAAGCAGGAGACCCTATACCATTCCAGAAAAGTGGCTGTTCAGTCTCATCTTAAAAGCTTCTAGTGATGGAGCATCCACAACTTCTGAAGGCAAGCTGTTCCACTGGTTAATTATTCTCACTGTCAAGAAATTTCTCCTTAGTTCTAGGTTGCTTCTCTCCTGGGTTTCTATCCATTGTTTCTTGTCTTGCCTTCCGGTGCTTTGGAAAATAAGTTGACCCGCTCTTCTTTGTGGCAGCCCCTGAAATATTGGAACATTGCTATCATGTCAACCCTTATCCCTCTTTTCACTACACTAACCATACTCACTTCCTGCAAATGTTCATGTTTTGGTCTCCAGCCCCCTAATAATCTTTGTTGCTATTTTCTGCACTCTTTCAGCATCTTTTTTATAATATGGTGAAAAAAACTGGATGCAGTATTCTATGTGTGGTCTTACTTAGGCTTCATAAAATGGTACTAATATTTCATGAGATCTTGATTCTATCCCTCTGTTAATATAACCTAGCATTGGCTTTTTTGGCTGCTGTTCCATACTGCTGGCTTATATTTAACAATAGCAATCGCACTTAGACTTATATACCACTTCATAGTGCTTTACAGCCCTTTCTAAGTGTTTTACATAGTTTGTATATTTCCCCCTACAATCTGGGTCCTCATTTTACCGACCTTGGAAGGATGGAAGGCTGAGTCAACCTGCTGGCAATTACCAGAGTTATCTTGCAATACTGCATTTTAACCCCTGTGCCACCACAGCTCTTTTAAGTAATTGTCCATTAGGACTCCAAAATCCCTCTCACAATTGCTGCTATTGAGCCAAATTTCACCTAATGTGTAACTGTACATTTGGTTTTTCTTGCCTGAGTGAAAACGTTACTTTTCTTTATATTTATTTTCATTTTTTTAGATAGGGCCCAGTGCTCAAGATCATCTCGATCTTGAGCCTATCTTTTGGGGTGTTGACTATTCCTGCTAGTTTAGTGTCATCTGCAAACTTGATGAGTCCCCCTTCTATTCCCTCATCTAAATTGTTTATGAAGATATTAAAGAGTACTGGGCTTAAAACAGAACTTTCCGGGTACCCTACTGCTTACTTCCCTCCGTATAGATATCTTCCCAGGTATTGATGTCAGGCTGTAGTTTTTCCTTTTGTAAAGATGGGAACCACACCAGCTCTTTTCCAATCTTTTGGTAGTTCCCCGGTGCTCCAAGGACTTTGAAAGATATGGTTCAATGGTTCCGAGATCACATCTGCCAGTTTCTCCAAAACTCTGGGATGTAATCCATCAGGTCCTACCAGTGACCCAGTAGGCTTGAGACCCAGGATGTGGCTTCTTTATTATTTATATCCAACCATGCATTATTTTCTTTACCTGTTTTAGGTCTGCTTCTATAATTCCTAATTCTGGTTAATAATTATATAATAGTTTTAACTAACAATTGTCTTATTCATTTACTGGTTTTTACTAGTTTGTTTTTCACCTTCCAGATGAATTTCTGTGAGATGGGCAGCCACATAAATTTGATTAATAACATAAATAAATATATATTATATAATATATTATATAATAATATATAATAATTATATTCTGGAGCACCACTTAAACACAATCAGCATTGACAAAATCATTTCATTGTTATTATTTCATCAAGGAATAACACAATGCAGTGAACAAACAAACAAAAATCACTTATTTTCCTATCGTTCTTCGGAAATTTGAGTCTCATTGAGGTACCTATGCCTTTTCCAAGTAACATCATAATGTGCCTGGTGAGGTAGTTTGCTGATCCACATTTGATATAACCAAATTATTTAGCTATTGTAAAAATGTGTTTAATCTGTTATTCTGCCTAATGTGCCAATAAATTTAGGGTTGAGTTTTTTCATGAAATATCTTTTTCAACATATTATTTTCTCATTACTATTACCTCTTCACACAAAGGCTATAATGATAATAAATATATAGGTATAAATACTTCCATTATAAAGAATGAGGAAGTCTGTCAGGAAAACATTTTACTTCCCAAGAGTTTATGGCTGAACTAAACAGAATTTCCAATACCTAATTTTGCATTTTCCTTATTTAGGATTTCCCAACTCTAAAAAATCTACAGTCAAATATTCTGTTTCTAAAACTCAAAAGACAAGTATTTGATAGAGGGATGTAAACAATGACAAGTACAACAGTAATAATAACACTATGACCTCATAAAAAAGAACCTGCTGTGAGATTTCTTAGCGCAATATGCTTAGATTGGCTTCATATACTTCCCTTGTAGTCCAACTTGTGGGGCTAGACTTTGTACCCAAGTCTAAGATCTTAAACATATTGCCCAGTACATAACAATATACCTTCTATTGTTTGGCTGATAAAAATGGTATTAACACGTTTTCACTTATGCTTGTTTTACACACTTCTGATCCTTTTTGTGAAAAAGAGAATCATTGATGTACGTAAGGTAGTCGATTACAGTAAAAAACACAACCACACTCACAAAACCCCTAAGCTTCTAATTATTATTAATTTTTTCCATTGAGGA